GCCATGTTGCTGCTTCTTCTTCATTAGTCCATAAGTGATTTTCTGGCATTCATATTCTTTCAGTTTTGTTCTCCCTTTTTGGCGTTGAGTTTACTTTATTGAGCCTTTGGAGGAAAGAAAACGGAGATGTGGACGGAATTTAAATCTTAATAAGAAATTCCTACCAAACCTAAGCTTTTTTACTCAAGCGAAGAAATTTTTTATTCCTGGCAGTGCAACGAAGATCAGCATTGACGCGACGGTATTCTTCTTTCCATGGGATTGCTACAATGAAGTTGGAAATTTCATGGTCCTTGTGCAGTTGCTACATCTTTTGACTTATTTTTATTTATGTGGAAAGATCCTACTTGCTGGTATTCGGTGAGGGTTGTCGAAAGCACATTCGTTTCTTCTAAGAGAAGACGCTCATTATCAAACGCAATTAGATAAGAGACCAATTGAAATTCTTAACATGTTTCTATCGGCTTGGAATCGAGCGCGTACCAAAGAGAATCTACGCGGGTTTCCAGATTGCTCTAAAGATGGTTCTGTTCAGTTTCCTTCACTAGTATGGGATTTATTGTTTATCAACGTGTACTCGCAATTGTATGGAGATGAACGAGACCAGTTCATAGCTCACCTCGAAGCACGCGGGTTGTGATATTACCTAGCTTTTGATCTATATCGTCTACATTTTTTTTGGCCTCAACTGAGTGGAGTGCACTTTTGCTTTCACGTGAAGTTAAAACTCGATCACTTGACCTGACACTCATTAAACGCTCACCATAGCTTTTCCTTTATGGATAATTTTCTTCGAAATATGCTTCGATGCTTAGTGTTTGCAGAATATAGAACGGAGTTCCCGTACTGAATCTTTCCTTCAGAACGGTGTTGACTCCTGTCATGGCCTCGTTTTGAGTAGTGTTTATAAAGAGAAGGCTTAAATTTCTTGCTTAGTCTCTCTTTTAACACCTTTTTTTTTACCAAGCAGAGGCATCTGTTGGTGGAAGTAGCTAGCAGGTGAGCACATGGTAAGAGTTTCGCTGGTTCGAAGCTCACCTGATGGTTCTATGCTCTGCTCATTTCTCAACACTTCGTGTATGTGATTATTCAGCTTAGATTGCTTTATCGAGGAATGAACCTGTAGTCACTTGGGAACTTCCAAGTTATGCTAGTGAGTTAAGCAACCCATATAGCAATACAAATGCAAAGAAGAAAAGTTTTGTTGAAAAAGCAACCTGCGGTTTCAAAAAGTCGTGATCATTTTTTACGACACCTGTCAGAAATTCTTTGGGACTAGTTGAGCCACATTTCGAAACACTTGGTAACAGATTTAAGTGCTTTTCTTGAGCAAACTTGAAGCTATTAACACAATATTTATACAACACCGACTAACGTTTCAGCAGACTTCGCCTTCCTGGGAGTCCGGGAGAGGACATATTGATTCACGATTCACTCAAGCAACTATATCCATAACCATGATGAAAAAAGCAGAACCTGGATTTTAATGACATTGTTCCACTTGTTAAAATAAAGCGTCCACACAGGGCTTACATAAGTGAGGAATGTACCTGTGTCAAGTCAAAAATTTGTCTGAAGTATGGTCGAGGACACGAATCATTAATAAGTCTCCCTGCTGCTCATCTTTAGGTGTTAGAAGTTTATTTACAATGTTTCTGGAGTTTTGCGAGCTGATATTATAGGTCGATGTGCGAGGGTTGTAATTTCGTTCTTAAAATATTCTCCGCGCTTGCTTTTCTTTTCTGTCCAATGCGTGCATAATCGACTACTACGTTTAACGCTAAGTTTTCCATGTCGGTGTGCAAGCATGCATCGAATTCCCTAATCAATACGAAATAGGAATAAAACTCCACGGTTTGTCAATTATACAGGTTATAACTCTCTTAAATTAGGGTCTAAACTATGCAATCTTTAGATAGACCAGAAAAGGCATAGGTGCTCCCCAATGATACAGCTTCTGTTACGAATTGTTGAAATTGTGTTCGTGCCTAAACAGGCCCACCGTTTCAGGGCCTCTGACCATTACTTTGCTGTAGATAATTGTTTCGCTATCCACTGTGCATTAGAGAAAATAAACAAGTGTTTCGAGCTCTTGAATGGACAGTTAGAGTATTTGAAATCCACTCGAGGAAAGCCGAAAACAATAAGGCGTCTATTTTTCGAGGTTCGATTTATCCCACCAAAAGACAGTCGCAGCGGTCCATTGTTTCACTTCTTAACGTTCACAGACAAAGAGCGCGATTGTAGGGAACACGTTACCAATGATTTGAAAAAGAGAGTTGATAGAGGAATCACATAATATAGGCAGCAAATAGCTATCTCAACGAGGTACAGGCCGTGGCTTATAGAGGCAAGTGTCGAGGAAAAGTCACGTCACAAAGCGATAGATCCATCGAACGTAATAAATCTGGTGGCATTTGAACTACCACTAAACACTCCACGTCGTCTATTTGCTCGAAACCGCTTGCATGACGTTCTACATCCAAAGAAAAACTACACGATTTGCCCTAACGATAGAAGTGCGCTGAAGCGATACTTTATCGAAACTGGTAGACTACGCTATAATCCGACACGTTAATGTAAATTTAGAGTTAAACCAAGTACTCCACTAGGTACATAAGGCAAAAAAACTGTAGAAAATATCTTATAATCGAAGTAACGGTCGCCGTCGGAGAATCTAAAAACACTAGCGAGCAAAATTCTGGAAGAATTTTGCATGCCTTTCAAAAACTCATCGAATCTTATTACCACAGGATTTTACGAATACTTCAAGCATTGTTCTCGAGCAAACTTGTCATAATTTGCGGATTGTAATTGACACACGTGTGCGACTTACATTTCTTACACAGAGCAATCACATGTACAGCAGTGGTTAGAGGTGGCCTTCAATACATATGTGGTCGTTGGTTCGATTTTGCGTAGCGCGCTTACGTATCCCATCAGGGACAGCAAATTGGTAGAAGACTTGTCTGGGAGGATAAAAACAAAGTGCTACAAGACCTGTCTGCAAAGATAAACATGAAAGCCTGATACAACGCGAGGCCATCGTATAGACCAAATATTTATTCAACCACCTAAACGATGACTGATGAAATCGAATGCATTTTGCAAGGAGCAACGCCACTCATCCTATCCTTCATTTTTTCACACATAATCAGCATTTTCTGTATAGAATATCTAGTTTTTAAACACATGGAACCCATCACTTCACACGTATATTTACCAAAGAATATAAGCATAATGGTGTTTAAATGTTTGCAAAACTCCAGACCGCTGGTGCTTGCGGTGAGGACTGAACACGCTACTACCCTTTCCTAGAGCCAACGCGTTCTTCCTCACGCTATGCGACTCCTTCGCTTCGTCTTTCTCTCCGCCGTGTTATTGACGTATAGGTGCTATCAGCAATCATCCGCCAACGGGATTGATAGCGTGTTCGATCTCCGTCGCAGACTTCAGCGATCAGTAATGAAACAGCATATCAAACGGTGCGAATTCTATGTAATCTGAATCTATTTAAGAATCGTTTCATGGATAATCACTTTATACATGACGACCCCATTATGTAGTTGGAAAATGAAATGGAGACTGCGTTAATCACAATTTAACGTATTATTTACTGCCTACTCTTTTTAACGGCAAGGTATACATTGTGAAATATAACTTCAATAATGCTGAGATATTTGCAAAACTATCAATCCCGTTGACGGGTGATTGCTGATGGCAAAAGATCGATAGAACTAGCTGAGAGACAGGCAAAACGAAGGACCCGGATGGTGTGGTGGTGAAGTACCTACTCACCGGTGAGGAGTATAGCGCGTTCGTTCCCCACCGCATACACTTGCGGTCCAGAGTTTTGGAAATATTTCAGCAACATTGGAGAGTGTGTTAGTTCATCATTATTCGACAAATATCAGATGTCTTGGACGAAAGCAATCGCCGTTTTCACCAAGTGAACCTCACTATAAATTACACGATGCACACTTTTGCTTTCTGATTATGATTGCCTTCATTTAACAATATATTGGAGAACACATTAGGAAAGTCAGAATTCAAGAATTCAACACTACGAATGAATATCATTTCTTTTCCGTCACATTTGCCACTTTTCTACATACATATTCAATTTGATTCACTTTTTAATTTCATTTTATTCCATTCAACGTTTAAGACAACGATCTTACGTGGTAGTACAATCACTGAATTTCTATTATTACCAACACATGGCATTAAAAGTGTAATGGCTTTTAATGTACTTTTATGATGTCGGCCGTGATCCTGTTCAGTAGAGATTACCACACAATAACGGTTTTCTGCATTTTCTTTTTGATAGGTTTCGCAACTCTATACAATTTTGAGAAGACGAATGACGTTATTGAGGTCATTTCTAGTCCTGAACTTCCTTTTTTGCTAGGAAAAGGTGCTTCAAGTTCTGTTTCGAGTGAACCTAGCGTGAATATCCAGCGAGTGACACTATGGCGCTAATGAAGAACGGACCATATCTCTAATCAGCAGTCTGAAAAATACACGACATCATGCAAATTATTGGGAATATTCATTTTACGCCTAACCATTAGCTGTTCGCTTAGCTTAGTAGCCTCTGTCTAACTCGACCTCTTACACAGACATCCTTTTTAAGTACAACAAAGCATTTTAGCCCCTTAAATCTTTGAGCACTATAGTCTTATTATTTTAAAGAGTTTGCGCTAGTTCATTTTTGCAAATCCGTTCATTTTATGATGTTGTAAGACCATAATATTTGAAATGTGCGAGCATAGCGAGCATTTTCTACTAGATGTTGAGGAATTTATTAAGCTATCGTCTGCAAAATCTTAATTACACTTCTTACACGGTGCTTTCTTAAAAGTTTCGGAAATATGTAGCTTTTACAGAATGAGGTTACTCTTCGTTATCTACACATCTATATAAGGAAATATACCAACATAATTCGTACTCTGCTTTATTCAAATAGAATGATTCAAAGTGTTAAATCTGCCGCCGAGCTAACCTGCTGGAGAAACTGTTTCGTCGGCTTCAGTTCTACTGGTGTCTGAGAGAAGATAGTCTTCTACAATAGTAGCGAATTGATCAGCAGATAGATGCCCAATGGAGCACACGTCGAGTTCACGGAAGACCTTCTGAGCAAGTTCTTCAGAATAGTTTCCAAATTCCTTAGCAATGTACTAAAATCGTAAAAATAAGAAATAACATTAGAAAAACTTTGGAAAATAAGAGGCATAACCTTAAATTCGCTCTCCGTAATGATACCATTATGATCTTGATCGAATACATCAAAACATTCACGAATCAACTCCTCATTTGTAGACTTGACAATATTCTGCGATTTTTTCATGCAAGAACAAAATTCTTCGAAATCAATCTCACCATTCCCGTCCGCATCAACCTGAACAAATGAATATTTCTTTAATGCTCTAAAGACATCTCGCTTAAATCAAATGGTAAGAAGAAATTGTCTCAGCATGACTCGCAGAAGGTAGCACGGGATATGCTAGAGTGCCTATCGACGTGTGGTCCCAGCTATAGTTAGTAGTGATAGCAAGGAAAAGCCTAAGGTCAGTGGTGGGACTAAGTAGGGATGTACAACATCTGCCGGCTGTTGGATGAAATGATGATTGAAAGGATGAAAGAGTTAAGCTTGAATCTGAAGTCTTCGATGCTTAGGTAATTCTCCAAAAAAGAAAGCCGTCTGGAAAGTAACGGCGATGTTCCCTATACTAGCGAAAAAATAAAGTGCTGATTTAGCAATTTAGTATTTTAAACAGCGGCGAAGAAAGTGTGTCGCCTGCCAAGCTAAGACAATTAGCAATTTAGTGTTTTTTCTCCAAATCTCCAACAATTCTTGATTCTGGCATTACCTTAAGGCTTAGATTTGTTACGAAATTTACAATCCAGTAAAGACAAAATTGATCAACAACATCCCACATGCCAAACGCATTTAAGACTCACGTGTTGTGGGGCTCACCTTCATTTACAATAACCCCGAGACGAACATTGACGGCAAGGTGCCAAGAAATAGCTTGGCATCTCTCATAAAACCAAAAGTGATAAGAACGAATGGTTTCACGTCCACTTTACAATGAGACACTTCAAAAAAAAACAAGCATGTTAACTAGCGAACAACATGGAAAATAATCTAGATGACGCGGTGTTTTTAAGAGAAGAGAAATGAAATTTTTGAAGAAAATTTGGAGAACTTCAGAAATTCACTTTGTCAGCAACATAGCGACACTCATTAAAAATTCTCACTTCAGGATAACTGGAACACCTGTCATGCCCATCATAGGAATGGATAGCAATGGTGATAGATTTGCATGTCCTTGTGATAGACAATGCAATGTTGAGAAAGATTCTGTACTAAATTACTCTTGGTTAACAATACTGGAGAAGGTCATAAACAAGAAAACTACTCCTAATGAATTTAACTTTTTATTTACTTCCCATCCCCTTTTCATGACACCGTACGACGTGTAATACAACTACCAATGCTGTGATACGAGCAGAATCCCGAACCTCAGCTGAGCTCCAACTAGCAATTAACCTTTCAGAGAGGAGTGCGTTATCCACCACACCAACCGAGGCCCTTGCCTTGGCTTCCTCTCAAGCAGTTTTCTACTCCATCAGTGCTATTGGCAATCACACCTCGCCAGAAATGATTTAGGAAGCAGAAATTAGCATTCAATATAGCTAACATGGAGCTGGGGTGGAAATGACGACGTTTTAAAATATGATTGTAATACACTTCGTCTTCTGCGATTAAATAAGAAAAGGCAGTAAATAAAGGTGGAACACTGTGATTTCGACTGCATTATAGTAACTACTTCCCGAATATTAACCTTTTCTTTGCCACGTGCTATAATTTTTGTCAGCAGTGAAATACAATCACAATGATACAGAGACATTTGCGAAACTTGGATACTAGGCCAGATCGAACCACAGTTACCCTTTTCGGGGGTTGCGTGTTGCACATTGCACTACTGAGCCTTCTGCTTTGCCCTTCTCTCAGCTAGTTTTTTTTTTTACCAAACAGTGCCATTGGTGATCATCCATCAACGAGAATGATCTGAGGACCACAAATTGGCATGGAACCCAGCTAGGCGACACTGTGGTCGAAATCGAGCCCAACTGAGCTCCCGAGTTTTGCTTATATCTCAACACCCATGTGATTATGTTATTTCCAATAAATTCGCAGAAGCAATAAGTCCAGCAGAAATCTCTAGGTGTTAATTAATCTCTGAAGGTTGAATCAAGTATTCGCTTTTGTCAAGCATTGTTAGAGGTGAGTGTATGCATATCTGGTCTACATAGTGATTTACGGTGACCTACCGATGTATCACATTATTAATCCAAATACTCCAACGGCTCTAAATACTTCACTAGGCACGCATAGGACGCAGAGACATAACGGGGAGGATTTTGAAGTAAGGGTTACGATCCTCTCACAGGAATCGAAACCTCCAAGCGCGCAAAACTCTCGAGGATTTCTGGATTAATCCCAAAAATCCGAAAATGAACCACAGAGATGAATGCTTCATTATCACGCGTGATATTGGGTAGTATATAAGCCTGTTATTCTGAGGTGATGTGCACATTACGCTTCCATGTGAACTCTGCACGATTGGCCACCACGCGACATACTCAGTGGAAGACTCATAGAAAGCGGCTCTGAGGAAGGTGAAATCCGCCGAAACGTCAGCTTGTGCGTAAATAAAGAAATAAAATAGCACCTCGTGTTTGCTGAACAGAAGTAGAAAGATATACCATTCTGTGTTCAATGCTATTAAAATCTTGGTTTAGTATTTTCTCTGTTTGGTTATAGAGCTCTTTGGCTAGGTAGATTTGCAGTCAGCTTGACCTTTCCAGGCTCTGGAGAAGGCGAAATCCGCCGAAACGTCAGCTTGTTCTTCAATAAAGAATGGAATAGCATATCGCATTTGCTCAACAAGAATATAAAAAAGTATCATGCTAGTGTGTCTTTCCTTCCAGACAAGACTGGAGCAAATTTTCCAATTTTGTTGAAATGAAAGGCTTGGTGAGCGCTCGCCATCAAGCCAACCAATACGCGCCTGACCACTGCCCTATGTCCGCCCTACAGCAACCGTTACTCCGCCATTTCCAAAGAGAGCGCATGATATATGCTTGGCACACAAGATATTTACGTGATTCTCAACGAAGCACATGTTTTTCCTAGCAGTAATTTGTGGCATGAATACCTTCGCCGTCTAGGCTAAAATAAGCAAGAACAATTTACCTTGTTCAATGCCACAAACCATAACATAAAACGTACTAAATTAATCACTCTGGCCTATTTTTTTTGCTTCTTGAAGCTCTTCGTTAAAGGCAAAAAACCGTAACCACGGAGAATATCCCAAGGTAGAGTACCAAGATGTTCCAGAAGGGTTGAATATGCTTGCTTTTGACTTAGAGGGTTTTGTCTAACTTCTCTCACAAATGAATGAATTTCGCTCCATTACTAGCTCTTATCTTCAGAGTAAACCTCTACGTTTAACGCAACTGGAATCGTTATGTGTAAGTGCTTCCGGAGATAACGGTGTAACAAAACTATAGCAATATGTTTACTAAAATGCAACGCTGCGGCTAGCGAGAGAAGGCGATATTGTGGTACTCAGTAATATCTTCAACTTCCAAGAAGCAAATAGGGTCAAAATAGTTTATTAGAAATTTGGTTGCATAGGGGCTTTAAACAAACATTCACACTAACACCCATGAGCATTGAATGTTGGCTCAAACGAAGTGAACTCTCATAACTCAAACAATCAATTGGTCCTTCACCAATTTAATTAGAGCCCGATAGGTTCGATTTTCTGTTTTCAGTGATATATACAACACTTATCAACTGAACACGTGATTAGGATTGTGAAGAACTGATAACATTGGTGCTAAGGGTTAGGGTTCATGGTTTGGGTTTACCGTTTACGGTTTGACTAGTTTTACTAATTTCGTCGGCGCCATGGAGTTGTCACCAGAAGCTGTAGAGCACTCTCAACTTGTTATGCGGTTTCCACCATTTTCGTTTCGTTGTCCTGCAAACATCATCCATGGAGGTAAAATTGTTCGCATGTGGTTCCACCTTTGATTTTAGAATATCAAGGTTGATTCTAGCCGTGAATGTAGCCGCCTTACTTGTGTATGCAACGCGGCCCACTTTTGTAGTGAAATCGCTCGAGATGTTTCGACTTTTTCAAGACCTACTCTAATGTTGTTTCTCACCAACAGTTGTTTTTTCGACATTCGTCTATCGGTGTTTCTTTCTCGATACGCATTTTGCTGTGTCTCGTTGGCGAGATAAAAAAAATAAAGGATAAAGCTCTCGGCGTTGATCAGTCACTAAAGGATGCGCCATGCATCCAACCTCATTAAGCATCGTTTGGAGGTGACTGAATGCATATCTGGTCTTTACAATGACTCGCGGTAGCCTACTGATGTATCGAGCCAATAAGATCAGTCAGGTTCCAATTTGCTGAACCCGGAGGGATGGAAGGCTTGGTGGGCCATGGATGCGTGAATCAATTTCTTGTGTTTGCAGGGTGCCTCCGACCACTGCGCCACACGTGCCTCTTAATGATGGCAAGATATTGATCGAGTCGAAAATCTGAGATACGAAGACAAGCTAGGTGCTGAGTGACATTGCTTTCCTTCAGAAGACGTTGCCCGATGATCCTGCGTGTTGTACAGTACCTCTATATGACTGAAATTTGTCCCATGATTCTTTTGAATAGAACAGGCCAGGAAGAGCTATTGCACCAAATAAATGAACAGTCGGTACCAGTAACCCTGATTGTGCTCCGGCGCAGTTCACAATGCCTCTTATCTTTTACCTAGTTTTTCTCTTAAGTCGTTATTCATATTCATTGAGTGTACGAGGTATACGAAGGATGCAGCCTTTCCAAGTGGTGATCCAACTAGAATAAACGGCTCAAGTGAGTAGTGGGCGAGAAACCTATATCGTCATCATAGACTAACTATTGCACTCTGGAAGTGTTTTTGAGCAGGACGCGTCAATACCTTGGTAAATTGAGGCAAAGAGCATATCACTGGTTTCTAGACTGTCAGTCCTTTTTCGTAGCCAATGACGATTGACAATGACCTGACACAGACGCAGTTATCGTCCATGTATTACTCTGTGCGGCTGCTATTCATCAACTAACTTAAATACTTACAACAAATAAACGGTAGATGTTCAAATAAACGCGTTTCTTATGCGAATACAAATTTATTTGATAAGTTTTATCTGCTGGGGTTATGAAAGTGTTTCTCTGAGTAGATCGCATTCCAGTTTGACCTTTCCAGGCTCTGAAGAAGGCGAAAGCGACGAAACGCCAGCCATTGTATCCTAATAAATTCTACCTCACATCTGCTTATTGAAGAAAAACATCGGATGTAGATGGGGTTAGCAAACTACCCGAGAGTTTACGTGTAGTCTATTCAACAAAATCTAGTAAATCCAGCTTGCTATGTGATTTGATCTTCACGAAAAAACAAAATGAGCTGTTGTGAAAAACTTCTACAACACTTATGGTAAGCTGATTGAATTGTCTTTATAAAAGCAGTCTCTGCTACTGTTTTTTGTCAAAGTACTGCACGGCGTTCGTTCAGTTGTCTTGAATTCTTTGTACTTCTAAATAAACCCCTATACCTGCTGCAAGAACTGCGTACCGGTGGTACTTGCCAAATTGCAAAAAATCGGCAAAACCATTATCATGTCATGGAGTTATTCAAGGCTCCGAGTTTCCAGTTCCAGCTCAAACTTTCGTGAAAAGGACTGTTCGCAGTGTTCTCCTAATAAGGATACTAAAGTCAAATATACGCAACTAGAATCATTGTTTTATTGGTGCTATTTTACGATAGAAATTTGCAACCCTCCCGTCTTCGTCGAGCAGGACGGAAAACTGGATGTCACACTGATGGGGATCTCCACGTCATTTCTCTACGCTTTACCTCCTTTTTGCTATCAGTACAATACTCATCTGCCCATAATAACGAAGATCGTAGTACTGCCTTGTTGTTGATGACTATTTGTTCGATGTGTGTAGCAGCAGAACTTTGGCACGAGCGTTTTCTCATTTTCAAAAGTTAATAAAACGTTCAGAGCTTGTTCGCGGGCTAACGCGAAGCGTTCGGAGCTACTTTTCGAAAACCACCGGTATTTCTTTAAAGTAAAACATTAGAGTGGTTTAGAACTTGATAGGATTTTAAAAAAGCCTTGATTTATCGCCTTAACTGGGTACACAAGTCTCGTAAGTAATTTTACCGTTTCAAAAGTTGTCTAGAATCAAAGTTGGAAAAAATGAAAGGCGAAGTTTAAGTCCTGAAATTTTCAACGCGATCGCTGCAAGTGGAAGAGATCGCTAGATGGCATAGTTTACGGTCAGAACTAGGGCGGTATCTAATCGCCTTCGAACCTCTGACTTTCGTTCTTGATTAATGAAGACATTCTTGGCAAATGAAGATCCAACGATTCTTCGAGGAACATAGCTTTCCTTTGAATAAGGAAATCCCGGTCCTTAAGTTGCACAAGTATTCGAAATAGGTGCCGTGACGCAAAAGGAAAATGTCAAAATAACCCAGAAAGGTAGAATTTCATAAAGATATAATAACAGCATTTGTACCTTTTCGGCAAAGATCTGTATAATAGCACTCGTACGTCTCGTGGAAAACTCGCCGGCACTAGTTGTTTATGACACGATTCGTGCTTCGTCGACTACGTTGCCACGCAAAGCTTTTTTTGCAATACAATTTGGAACCACCAATACTTATCTAACACAGACGATGTGGTTGGCTTAAGCCCACTAAAACTATGTTCCACATGTGGTAGCAATTCACAAAAACCTTTTACCTAACGAGTTAGTGCATCTGTTTTGAATCCCACAGTGGGTTAGGCCACACCGCGACTCAGATAGAATCTTTGACATGTTGTTATCGACGTAGTTTCACAAGAACAAACAAGAACTGTGGCAGCATAATCCTTTCCATTTTAAGCAGATTCCTATGAATATCTTGACTTCTCAGCAATCTCAGTTTTTCATTACGAGGCGCAATAGCAGAAGTGAATATGCTGGTGAATCGATTAGCAAAGGGTGACAGCTGGGTGCTGGACGAATTCATTAATCACACGCAAAGTTGGAAATGTTTAAAGAGCATTCGTAAATACACAGAAGATCACAGATGAGTTGTGATGTGAGTTGCACAGACAAATGAATGCTTTTAACTTCGCAACATTTCTCTCTTTGCCTATCGGACTTCATGCCAATATATGAGTTTCCTCATCATACTCCATATTTATCACCTTTCTTTGCATTTAATTCGCCAACAATAACTATGCAAAAGGTTTTCCCGTTATAGACGATTTCCTCGAGATGTCATGAAGGCTTTGAACAAGCAGAACATGTGTACTAAGCATTCAAAAATATTTCACTACGTATGTAGTAGTTTGGCAAGTAAGGTTTTGCTGTACTCCATTCATGTCGTTATCGACGTAGTTTCACAAGAACAAACAAGAACCCAATTTCACTCTCAACTCTTTAAAACCACCGTCTTCCCGGCATTAACGTACGCCTAAGGACCATAGACTTAGGGCGAAAGAGAAGTGACCATTATTAAAGATATCGTGTACCCACAGGGCGCGTGTGGCGCAGTAGTCGGAGGCGCCCTGCAACTCACATGTGGAATCGATCCCCGTGCCCATGGCTCACGAAGCCACCCATCTCTCCGGAGTCAGCAAATTGGCATTAGACTTGTCTTGGAGGATAGCGGCACTGTCTTGATACACCGGTAGGCCTCCGCGAGTCATTGTAAAGACCAGATTTGCATTCAGTTACCTCCAAACGATGCTTAATGAAGTTGAATGGGTGCCACATCTCTCAGGGATTGATAAACGCCGAGAGCTTTATCCTTTATTCTTTATCGTGTACCCATAAGAAAGTTTCTATACGTCGAGAGGTTAGGGAAATTCTCGCATCTGCAGTATTGAAAATCAAACGGGACCCGAAAATGACACATGCCGTTCGATAATGGGACCCGTACGATACGATAACAGGCGTACAAGGGAAAGATGTGATGATCGAACTTCTTGGTGAAGACCTTATAGGAAAAACATTATTTTTACTACCTTAATCTTTTATTTACTGCCTGCTCTTTGTTAATGGCAGAGTATATTGCGAAATATAACTTCAATGAAGGTAAGATATTGGTAAAACTCCGGACCGCAGGTGCCTGCTGTGGTGAACGAACGCGCTATTCTCCCGTCCGGTGAGTAACGCGTTCACCACCGCACCATATGGGTCCTTCGTTTCGCCTATCTCTCACCTACAGCGGAATTGATCGCGATATACCTTGCCATCAAAAAAGAGTAGGCAGTAAATAGAACGATTAAGATTGTGATTATAACTAAAGCCTCAGCTTAACTGGGTTCGTTGCTGATTTGGGCTCCCCAGATCAATCCCGATGACGGGTGATTGCTGACGGCACAGATTGACAGAACTAGCTGAGAGAGACCCGCATGATGTGGTGGTGAACGTGTTACATACCGGAAAGGACAATAGCGCGTTCGTTCCCCACCGCTCACACCTGAGGTCCGGAGTTTTGCCAATATTTCAGCTTCATTGAAATTATTTTTAATCTTCCTTTGGACTGAAGCAACCCTACCGAAAAACTCCGACTTAGGAGAAGAACTAGTGAAGCTACAGAAAGCACCCGCTTAATTCCCTCATAGATCGTTTAAAGAACAAGAATGCGGGATGCTGATTTTTCTCCTCTCAAGATAGGAATTAACAGCATTGCTTATGATCACCGTGATTTTGGAAAAAAAAAACTTGAGCATGCATGTTATAGTAAAAAATAATAAAAAAACATACCTTTACGACGTTATTTTTATACTTTTACTTTTCCTAACCTAACGATATTTTTGCTACATAAAGGCGTTCTATTTTTGAGAGGAACTTTTCCATAAGGTGTTGGCACACAGTTTTCCTCATGTGCTGAGGTTCTGTCCACCCTTCTCACACATTGTAACTCTCAACAATTTTTTTCTTTTTACCTTTCCTTCGATAAAGATGCCTATGGAAGTTTTCTTTTTTGAAAAGTAGAGTAGTTCCTTTTGTACGGGACTATTTTCACGGCAAAATAACATTATATTGAACCTGCAAATTTAGAAAATTCAGTGAGAGCACTGCTTTTTTCACAGCACGCACAAGTGTTCTGGAAAATCAGAAGAAGTGCGCACCTCTTTTATCACATTATCGATTTCTGCTTCGTTCGCATGCATCCCAATGCTAAACATTGCTTGTTTTAATTCTTCGTTTCCTATAGCACCGGATCCATCAGTGTCGAACATGTTAAACAACTGTCTGTATTCTTTGAGTTCTTTCCTGAAGTATAAATGCTATAAGGAGGTCATGTGCGTCAGTACACTGAAGTACTTGATTCCATACCTCGAGTATTCCGCGTTATGTAGATCCATTGGTTGGCTCAGAGCCGAGTGTACGGTGAGCTTCGACGCCGTTGAGTGTTTCCTTTCTGCCGTCGGTTTATCGCGCTTCTCAGGCAACCGAGAGACTCCGACTTTAGCCGAACGCATTGCCTTGTATTTGAAGTAAATATTATCTAACGTTTAAATACAAATATGAACAATGTCGTGAACCAATTCAGAATATCAAGTATAGCAGAAATCGAATGCGGGAGTTGACGTTGAAGCCAATGTGTTTATAGTGACGTATCAGGAAATGTCATTAGCATATTAAGCATTCGCATCACGGCATATGCCTCAAATTGATTACACGTAACTTCACCACTATGTTATCTGGTCATACATTTCTACTAAAGCACTTATTTCTAAATGATGATTTGTTACCGCAAAAACTTAGCGATGAACAAATCTTGAGCTATACAACGTTCACAAAACATCCGAAAACAATAGATGTTCTAAAATAGATAAGAAATATTGTCAACATGTATCTAAATCGTCGAGCTTACTCGAAGTTGGTAACATTCGACCGTCGAAAAACATTCCAACGTCTTCGTCTTCACCAGAGCCGATTAAGTTTGAGGTTCGGCGAGAACAGTGGTTGTCGCTAGTATTCTGCACATTTCTTAACCCATTTTATCATTTCATTTTTGACATATATTGATTTTTTTATACCCATGATTATGAGGGAAAAGGCATGTAATCAGACACAAGTCGGAGAATAGTGACAAATCATGGAAATAACAACTTTAACTGACATTAAGTATTTTAAAATAGTAATAGACAAAGAAAGAAGAGATGTCTGTCTCCAGAAACACTCGAGCTGATACGCCAGCGTGGAATCGCACGAGCTGCAAGCAGCGGCGAACTGACGCCTGAACATTCAAAGCAATGCAGACAGGCGATAAAAGAAGATCTTAAAGAGAGAAGAGCAGCAATTATGGTTTAAGCTTCAGCGGCCGCGAAAAGCGTTCGCAAAGCCCACCGAAGCTTCGCCAATTACAAGAAAAAGATGATTGCACTCCGACGTCCAGTTGGAGCAGTTACTGCGTCCAGAAAGGAAATTCAGAAAATCATTCGCGAATATTACTCAAATCTCTTCGAAGGCCACGTCCACCTTCCGTCATACGAAATAAAGAAGAATGTATATGTTGCATCACCGATTCTCCCTTCCGAAATCCAAAATACTATTTCATGAGTGAAAAATCTAACAACACCGGATCTGGACAGGATAAGATCCGAACACTTGGAGAACATTCCGCCAGTTTTCGTAAACACACTGGCTCGGATCTTGACACGTTACCTGTCTGAATGCAAGGTGACCACTCAGTGGAAGACCAGCAAGACCTTGTTATTGTTCAAGAAGGCAGACCTACACGAAATAGGCAACTATCGTACAAGCTGCTTGCTGCCTGTCGTCTGCAAACTTTTCACTCAAGTCATCTTAAACAAGATTGATAGAACACTAGACAAAGAACAGCCATGTGAGCAAGCCGAGTTTCGAAAAGAGTTTAGTACGATAGACCACATCCACACGATAACAAGACTCATTGAAGCATCGTGAGAGTACAAAAGACCGCTCTTTCTCACTTTCACCGATTTAAAGAAGGCCTTTGACTCAATCGAGATAGAAGCAGTCATGAAAGCCCTTGATGTTCAAGGAGTCCCTACTTAGTACATAAGGATTCTATGTAAGTTGTACGAAAATTTCACAACCAAGACACCACCATTCTACAACGATATTAATATTGACGTCAAAAGAGGAATTAGGCAAGGCGATACCATCTCTCCAAAACTATTTACAACCACCCTCGACTCCTGTATGCGAACATTGGAACGGGATAATATGGGAATGAAAATCCCTGGTCGGCAGTTACATCACCTTCGCTTTGCTGATGACATCATCCTTATAACACCAAAATTACCCAAGTGGAACATACGCTCGCCAACTTTGATAAAGCCTGTGGAAAAACTGGTCTTCGACTAAATCTCACAAAAACGATCTCCATGAAGAACGGATTGGTTTCGTATGCCCCATTCACGCTCAACGGAATGAATATCTCCGAATGCTCCAGGTGTACCTATCTAGGTCGGGAAATCAATATGATAAACGACTTAGCTCCACAGCTGAGCTGAAGGAAACGAGCGGCTTGGGGAGCTTTCAAGAGCATCGAGGATGTAGTGAAGAAAACTAAGAACACACGACTCCGTGCCCTTCAACGGTACTTCCTGCCTTAACGTATGCATCAGAAACTTGGTCGCTGCGTAAGCAGAATGAAAGATCGCTCAGCGTTATCTAACGCGCAGTCGAAAGAACGTTGCTAGGAGTATCCCGTTCCGCACGAGTAAGGGATGGGATCCGAAGCTCCGACCCACGTCAACGATTAAAATCAAAGATGCCGTTTTGTACGCCAAATAGTCGAAGATAAGATGGTGCGAACTTGTAATTCGTGTGAATGACAACCGATGGACAAGAGTCGTTAGTGACTGGATTCCTCGGGATGTCAAACGTACTGCAGGAAGACCACCGACTCAATGGTCACAATTCTTCACGAAAAGCATAGAAAAAAGATGTGTTGCTCAACGTGTCCCTACAGCAAGCAGAACCCACTGGGCTACTCTTGCACACTACAGGGAAAAATGGAAGATTTACTGGTGGCCGCTTGAATCATTCAACTACCAAAAGGTCTGCAAGTGATACAGGTGAACATAGTAATATCGGGCGCCATTAAAAAGTCTACGTCATGGCGGAATATTGAAGACATTATCCATAATATGAAAAAATTCCTTATCTCTTCACGCGCTTTCATTGCACAATCAGTGAAATAAATCCAATTTACTTTCAGTCCTTTGTTAACAGTTCGAGGCAAAACGCTCTGTAATGTTTTTGTATGTTATTACCTGGTTAGACACTTATAAAACACAATAGCTGGAAGCGCTGTGCGATCTCTTTGTACGTTACATTTTATTAAAATTCCCTCTCTTCGGACAAGAGAAATTAGCACCAGACTTCTTTGGAGTAGGCTCGCTTCCAGCCTGCTTGTGATGAAGTTCTGCGAACGCCCAGGCACGCCCATCCCACGATAAGACGTAGAATTGATTCGGCGGACATCCAACGACAGTCGTAAAAAAACCAAAGATCCTCAAGCGGCAGCAGCATCCACACGCAAATCCAAAGACTTTCGTGAATGGCTGATTCTAGCAAGCGAATCGAATACAAGAAGTGCTAAGATGGGTTGAAATTTTGACGTCAGTTGGCGCAAAATAAAGATAAAAAATAAAGCTTTGATGTTATGCAGCAAAAAAATTTCTATAAGCACGTGCATGAGCGGATAGGACAGTGTAAGTGACGTCCGTCATCACGAACACGGTGCTAGTTCGATTGCAGTCAGGGCCAACCAAATCTCTCATCCCTCCGGGGTTGGGAAATTGGTACCAGTCTTGTCTGGGAAAAAATCACTATCTTCAATCCAATTAGGAACGCTCCAGGTCGGCTCTCTTAGGACTTCAGGAAGAATTGCTCGACCAGCATTCTACGAAATTCAAGATGAAATGAAAGTCCTCAAGCAGCAGCCGAAGCCACACGTCAAAGTTGGATGATCTTCGTGGGCAATCGATGCGAGGAAACGAATCGAATGTGAGAAGCGCTGGGATCCGCACAGTAGACGTGAAGACGGATCATTTTTTGAGAAAATATGCAGTTCACGTTTGCTCAAATACTTCAGGGGACGAGAAATTTTCCTCAGTGCTCGAAAAACCAGTAACAGACGTCATGCGTTAACAAAGGTCAGGGCGGACAAATCTACCCAAACGATTTATCTTCCTTACGTGGAGAAATGTGTAAGCTATTCTAAACATTACAGCGTTTGCCTTCTATTTACACGCTATTTTTTCCCATATTAGGATATTATGCGGAAATAAAACACAAGAACGCTTAGAGGAGCAGAACTTGAAATCACAGTTGAGCTTTGAAGGCGTGATTACCGCTTCGAAAAACTCACCCGCTCTCCACCACACCAACCATGGCCCTTGCTTTTCCTTTCTCTCAGTCAATTTTTCACTCTATCGGTGCTATCGGCAATCACTCATTAACGGAAATGATCTGAGAGGTGCAAATTGGCTTTCAACCCAGTTAAGCTGGAACTGCAATCGAAATCACAGTGTTTTACGATGTGGTTGCATTGCATATCGTATCCTGCAGTGAAAATAAGAATAGGCGGTAAATGGAAGTTAAACCATTGTGATTTTGACTACAGCTTTAGCTTAACCGGATTGAATGGTGATTTACGTTCCCAGGTCATTTCTGTTGACGAGTAATTCTTGGCAGCACCGTCAGAGAAAGGAAAAAAAAGAGAAAGGTCCAGCATAATCTGGTGGATAGCATGTGCGCAGCGCGGAAGCGCAGTAGCGCGTGAGAAGGGTGCCCAGTTTTGCTCAGACCTCAGCATCCTTTTGGTTGTATTTCAGGCTTCTTTCACGAGCAATATACATTCTCCGTGAATAAAATGGTACGTAAAAACGAAAAGACGCCAACGATAGGTTCTTGAGTGGGACATGTGACTTATAAATATTTCATGATAGTAAGTGGACTGAATTCAAAATGAGATATTTTAAAGAAGCTGATTTAAAAAGTTGTTGCACATTTTAATTGGTCAGGATTCTTATACACTGGCTCCTTACATACTCGACGAAAAAGTTCGCTTCGAATGCATTCCAGGTGTCATTTACAAAATTTGCGGCCAAACCAATTATATAACCAACAAATTTGTGTAGGACCATATGAATGATATTTGTAAGGATTGTTAGTCAAGAAAATTTACAATTCACTATGGGCTAGATGCTACCAAGTTTTCAGCTCTAACAGCAGCGAGAACCAATCATTTCACAGGCGTCGGACACGTTGGAGCAACAAACGAAATAAAGAATATCGTCGATCCGTAGATTTATTTTTTCAGAAATTTATCTTCACTATAGTTTATGGTATCAGACTATGGCTAAAAAATGAAGCTCTTATTGTTCCGAGGGTAGGAAATTAGCGCCAGACTTCTCTGCGCTGAGCTCATTCCGATGTACAAAGCTTTTTATTTTTAAAATTCGAACTGCTCATTGAAAAG